TGGTGGTGTACGCCTCAATAGAGGAGAGTTAGACCGGTGGTGTACGCCTCAATAGAGGAGAGTTAGACCAGTGGTGTACGCCTCAATAGAGGAGAGTTAGACTGGTGGTGAACGCCTCAATAGAGGAGAGTTAGACCAGTGGTGTACGCCTCAATAGAGGAGAGTTAGACCGGTGGTGAACGCCTCAATAGAGGAGAGTTAGACCGGTGGTGAACGCCTCAATAGAGGAGAGTTAGACCGGTGGTGTACGCCTCAATAGAGGAGAGTTAGACTGGTGGTGTACACCTCAATAGAGGAGAGTTAGACCGGTGGTGTACGCCTCAATAGAGGAGAGTTAGACCGGTGGTGTACGCCTCAATAGAGGAGAGTTAGACCGGTGGTGTTCGCCTCAATAGAGGAGAGTTAGACCGGTGGTGTACGCCTCAATAGAGGAGAGCTAGACCGGTGGTGTACGCCTCAATAGTGGAGAGTTAGACTGGTGGTGTACGCCTCAATAGAGGAGAGTAATAGAGGAGAGTTAGACCGGTGGTGTTCGCCTCAATAGAGGAGAGTTAGACCGGTGGTGTACGCCTCAATAGAGGAGAATAATAGAGGAGAGTTAGACCGGTGGTGTACGCCTCAATAGAGGAGAGTTAGACTGGTGGTGTACGCCTCAATAGAGGAGAGTAATAGAGGAGAGTTAGACCGGTGGTGTTCGCCTCAATAGAGGAGAGTTAGACCGGTGGTGGTGGTTTTCGCCTCAATAGAGGAGAGTTAGACCGGTGGTGTACGCCTCAATAGAGGAGAGTTAGACCGGTGGTGTACGCCTCAATAGAGGAGAGTTAGACCGGTGGTGTACGCCTCAATAGAGGAGAGTTAGACTGGTGGTGTACGCCTCAATAGAGGAGAGTTAGACTGGTTGTGTACGCCTCAATAGAGGAGAGTTAGACCGGTGGTGTTCGCCTCAATAGAGGAGAGTTAGACCGGTGGTGTTCGCCTCAATAGTGGAGAGTTAGACTGGTGGTGTACGCCTCAATAGAGGAGAGTTAGACCGGTGGTGTTTGCCTCAATAGTGGAAAGTTAGACCGGTGGTGTTCGCCTCAATAGTGGAGAGTTAGACTGGTGGTGTACGCCTCAATAGAGGAGAGTTAGACTGGTGGTGTACGCCTCAATAGTGGAGAGTTAGACTGGTGGTGTACGCCTCAATAGAGGAGAGTTAGACCGGTGGTGTTCGCCTCAATAGTGGAGAGTTAGACTGGTGGTGTACGCCTCAATAGAGGAGAGTTAGACCGGTGGTGTACGCCTCAATAGTGGAGAGTTAGACTGGTGGTGTACGCCTCAATAGAGGAGAGTTAGACTGGTGGTGTACGCCTCAATAGAGGAGAGTTAGACCGGTGGTGTTCGCCTCAATAGTGGAGAGTTAGACTGGTGGTGTACACCTCAATAGTGGAGAGTTAGACTGGTGGTGTACGCCTCAATAGAGGAGAGTTAGACCGGTGGTGTTCG